TTATAGCAGTAGTTCCCAAATGGGGTTAACTGCTCTTCCAGGGAACAGTTGCCAATCAATGTCTGGAGACATTTTTGGTTGTCACAGCTGTGGAGATGAAACCACTGGCATTTCGTGGGTGGAAGCCAGAGAGGCTGTTTCATGTCCTGCAACACACAGGATGCACCCTCCATCATGACCAAGAATTATCCAGCCCCAAAAGCCAATAGTGCTGAGGATGAGAAACCCCATCCTATAGGCTCAAAATCAGCTTTTTTTTTTTAGACAGAGTCTTGCTCTGTCGCCCAGGCTGGAGTGCAGTGGTGCAATCTCGGCTCACTGCAAGCTCCAACTCCCGAGTTCACGCCATTCTCCTGCCTCAGTCTCCCGAGTAGCTGGGACTACAGGTGTGCACCACCACGCCTGGGGACCACAGGCGTGCTTCCTCATGCCTGGCTGATTTTTATGATTTTTAGTAGAGACAAGGTCTTGCTATGTGACCCAGGCTGGTCTCAAACTCCTGAGCTCAAGCAATCCTCCCGCCTCAGCCTCCCAAAGTGCTGGGATTACAGGTATGAGCCACTCTGTCAGCCACCTCCATTCTTGAGGGGAAGGTTTTGTAGACTGAATGCCAGGTCGTTGACACGATCCAGTGGCTTCAAGTCTGCCCCATGACTGGGTTCAATTAGGGACAGATGTTAATCGGAAAAATGTGAGTTTATTGGTCTCTTCCCACTGTCCTCTCTTTCCTCAGCGGCATCTACCCAGAGCCCAGAACAGAGAGCGTTTAGCTCATAGTCAGAGAGCGTTAGTGTTTGTTGCAGAAAAGGATACATGAATGCTCACATAATCTGGGATGTGAATGGGCTACCGCTTGGTATCCCGTGCCCTGATTGGGTGAGGATTCCCTGTATGTCTCCAGTTTTCTCCGATGTTAAAGAACACTGCAGCGGCTGGACACGGTGGCTTACACCTGTAATCCCAGCACTTTGGGAGGCCAAAGCAGGCGGATCACCTGAGGTCGGGAGTTCGAGACCAGCCTGGCTAACGTGCCAAAACCCCATCTCTACCAAAACTACAAAAATTAGCCAGGCATGGTGGCGGGTGCCTGTAATCCCAGCTACTCAGGAGGCTGAGACAGGAGAATGGCTTGAACCCGGGAGGTGGAGGTTGCAGTGAGCCAAGATCACGCCACTGCACTCCAGCCTGGGTCACAGAGCAAGACTCTGTCTCAAACAAAACAAAACAAACAAAAAACAAAAACCAAAACCGAAACAAACAAAACAATACAAACAAAATAAAACAAAACAAAAAACATAACAAAAACAAAACAAAAAACAAAAACACTGCAGCAAACATCCTTATAATGTCTTTTTTTTGGTTTTTTTTTTTGAGACAGAGTCTCACTCTGTCGCGAGGCTGGAGTGCAGTGGCACAATCTCGGCTCGCTGCAACGTCCACTTCCCGGGTTCAAGCCATTCTCCTGCCTCAGCCTCCCGAGTAGCTGGGACTACAGGTGTGCACCACCACGCCTGGCTAATTTTTTTTTTTACTTTTAATAGACACGGAGTTTCACCATGTTGGCCAGGATGGTCTCTATCTCCTGACCTCGTGATCTGCCCACCTTGGTCGCCCAAAGTGTTGTGATGCGTGCCCTCATGATGTCTTTAGTGTGTCCCCCGCATCCGTCCACCAGCTTTTTGTGCACACTTTTTCTCACAATGGACCCATTTCCTTTCTCTTTGGCAGACCCCTCCGTACCCCTGGATCCAATCTCAGTGTCTAACTCATCATCCCAGATTATTCTGAAGTGGAAACCGCCCTCCGACCCCAATGGCAACATCACCCACTACCTGGTTTTCTGGGAGAGGCAGGCGGAAGACAGTGAGCTGTTCGAGCTGGATTATTGCCTCAAAGGTGAGTGCGGGCAGCTGTGCTGGGATGGGTGGGGTTTGCCCACATGTAACTGATGCACTTTGCTTCACCTCTAGCGAAGCAGCCATCCCTTCCCGTGTCTCAGTGTCGGGAGCCACACACACACGCTCCGTTCAATCTCATACGAAAACATACATACATGTTTTTATCTATTTATTTATTTACTTTATTTATTTACTTTTTTGAGATGGAGTTTCACTCTTCTTGCCCAGGCTGGAGTGCAATGGCGCGATCTTGGCTCATCGCAACCTCCGCCTCCCGGGTTCAAGCGATTCTCCTGCTTCAGCCTCCCGAGTAGCTGGGATTTCAGGCACGCGCCACCACGCCCGGCTAATTTTGTATTTTTAGTAGAGACGGGGTTTTCTCCATGTTGGTCAGGCGGCTGGTCTCAAACTCCCGACCTCAGGTGACCTTCAGGGTCGATCCAGCGCTGCCTTCTGGGGTGCCTCGCACAACTCTGGCTGGGCAGTAACAGGGCATGAGTCTCACGGAACCGCAGGCCTATTTTTTTTTTTTTGAGACAGGGTCTTACTCGTGTGCACCCAGCTAGGAGGTGGCAGGTGGGCACGATCTTCTGCTCACTTGCACCACGCCCCCTTTCCGCCACGCGTCCCAGGCTCAGCAATTCTCGGCTGCCTCAGGCTTCCATGAGACTGGGACACCCACGTTGTTTGCACCAGCATGCCCAGGTAATTTGTTTTTTTTCTTTTTTTTTTTTTGGAGACAGGTCTTTCGCACTCTCTCACCCAGGGCTGGGAGATGCTCAGTGGGTGCGGATCTCGGGCACTGGCAACTTGCACTTTCCCAGGCGCAAGCGATTTCTCCTGCGCTCAGGCTCCCTGAGTAGGCCGTGGGACTACAGGACATGCCGAGCCAACGCCCGCTAGTTTTTGCATTTTTAGAGTACGAATGGGGTCTTACCATGGTGGCCAGGCTGGGGTTCTGAACTCACTGACCTCAAATGACCCACCTGCGCCTTGGCCCCAAGGTGTACTGGAATTAGCAGGCATGAACCATCGGCACGCCCGAGCCTGGCTGTAAGTTTTAAACTTCTTTTTGTAGAGATGCGAGTCCGTCCTTATATTGCTCAGTCTTGTCTCAAGCTCCCGACTTCAAGCGATGTAGAGCCTGCCTCAAGACCTCCAAAGTGCTGGGATTATAGGCCAGAGCCACTATGGGGCTCGATAATACACTTTTTTTTTTTTTTTTTCTGAGATGGGTCTGCACGTCTGTCCCCCAGGCTGGAGTGCAGTGGGCAAGTCACGGTCACTGCAAGCTTCCGCCTCCCCGGGTTCACACGCTATTTCCTGCCTCAGCCTCCCGAGTAGCTGGGTTGGACTAACGCAGGCCCACCAGCCACGCCCTGGCAAATTTTCGTATTGTAGTAGAGACGGGGGTTGGTCACCGCATTAGCCACGATGGGTTCTCGTGATCTCCTGGACCTTGTGATCCGCCCGCCTCGGCCTCCCAAAGTGCTGGGATTATAGGCGTGAGCCACCGTGCCTGGCCTACATACACATTTTTAAACATCATAACACAAGCACACACTCTGAAGATTTGTGTCAAAACCAGATTTTCCACGTCTTGGCACCATTTCCCTCTGGGATTTTCTCCTCTTTCCTCTCCTTCATTCTCCCTCCCTGTCTTCCTTGTCCTCTTCATCCCTCCTCACACTGACGGGGATGTATCTGTGTTAACCGACGCAAGGCTTCCGTGCAAAGCTAGAAACACAACTCATGGTTATTGACAAAGTCCATGGGAAGGATTTTGGGCCCACTGAGATCCCTTAGTTGTAAGGATCGAAGGCAGCAAAAATCGATTATCGTATCTCCCACCCCACACTGTCAATTAAAAAGTCCGCCAGGCTTGGCACTCATGCCTGTTAATCCCAGCACATTGGAGGCCAAGGTTGGAGGATCACTGGGAGGGCAGGAGTTTGGAGACAGCCTGGAGCAACATAGCAAGATCCCATCTCTACAAAAATTTTTAAACAATGGTGGTGTACACCTGCGGCAGTCCCAGTTACTCGGGAGCCCAGGTGGGGCAGGATCTCCTTGAGCCCGGGAGTTCAAACTGCAGTGAGCTAATGATTATTTCACTGCACTCCAGCCTGAGTGACAGAGCAAGACCCTGTCTCCGTAAAAAAAAAAAAAAAAAAATTTAAAATTAAAAAAATACGGAATGACATTAAGTGCATTCACAATGTTCGTTAATCATTTATTGTGTTAAAATTATATTTATAAATATAACTTATAAAAATTACGATAAATAATTTTTATTATAAAACTTAATGACAAATTTTCCAGTCTTAATCTTGTTACTTAATGGAACTGCCGTCCATCTGAAGGAAAATGGATGAATATTTAAAGTCTCAACTAGCGTGTATACATTAGTTTTAAATTATTATGTTTATTATTATTATTTTTTTGAGACGAAGTCTTACTCTGTCACCCCAGGCTGGGAGTGCAGTGGCTTGATCTCAGCGTCACAGCAACCTCCACCTGCCGGGTTCAAGCAATTCTTGTGCCTCAGCTTCCTGAATAGCTGGGATTAGTTGCTGCCCCTATACCCGGCTAATTTTTTTGTTTTTAGTAGAGACAGGTTTCATCATGTTGGCCAGGGTGGTCTTGAGACGCCCTGACCTCAAATGATCCACCCCCGCCTCAGCCTCCAAAGTGCTGGGGATTACAGGCGTGAGCCACTGCACCCGGGCCTAAAATTATTTTAACATTGGGTTTTTTAAAAACCCATCAAACAGGAGAAGGATCTGTCACTTTTTTCTTTTTCTTTTTTTAAGATGGGTCTCACTCTTGTTGTCCAGGCTGGAGTACAGTGGCACAATTCATAGCTCCACTACAGCCTTGAACTCCTGGGCTCAAACGATCTTCCCACCTCAGCCTCCTGAGTAGTGGACTACTCAGAACTATAGGCCTGAGACACTACACCTGGCTAATTGTTTAAAATATTTTTTAGGCCTGGGGCAGTGACTCATACATGTAATCCCAGCACTTTGGGAGCAAGGTGGGCAGACCCACCAGGGGTCAGGATCTCGAGACCAGCCTGGCCAACATGGCAAAAACCCGTCTCTACTCAAAATACAAAAAGGTAGCCGGGCATGGTGGCAGGCGCCTGTAATCCCAGCTACTCAGGGAGGTTGAGGCAGAGAATTGCTGACCCGGAAGGCAGAGGTTGCAATGAGCTGAGATCGCACCACTCACTCCAGCCTGGGCAACAAAAGTGAAACTCCATCTGAGAAAAAAATATATAATAATAATAATAATGTTTTAGAGTGGGGATCTTGATATGTTGCCCAGGCTGGTCTCCGAACTCCTGAACACAAGCGATTCCTCCTGCCCAGCCTCCCAATAGTGGCTGGGATTACAGGCATGAGCCACTGCCACGGGGCCCATTTCTCTCTTTCGTGTTGGTTTCCTTGTGTGTCTTGATGTCTTTTTCTTTTGAGATATTTTCTGGTTAGTGATATCCTCAGTCCACGACCCTGGGAGGAGAAGCCAGGGGGCGCGCTGGTGAGTGAGGTGTGGCTGAGGCCAGGACTCAACATTTGCCCTTGGGCTCCGGCCCTGACCTGCTTGAAGGGTTTTGGCACGTTCCCAAGCACGTCACCGGTCTGCCCCTTTTTGCGGAGAAAGGGGCGGGAGGACAGATGATCTCTGGGGAGCTGTTATCTTGCGTTGTATGCCTCTCAGCGTCATATGCTATATGTGTGTGTGTGACATCATCCCCGCCTGAACCGAGGGTTGCAAACGTGATTTATCTCCTTCGATGCTTTATATAACTCCAGGGTGAGTCCAGTCATCAGCTCAGCTCTAAGCTGTTGGCCCTGCATTCAAGTAACCAGAACCACCCGTGAGAGCTGCCACCAGCAATGTCACTCAAAGCTTTCTTTCTTTCTTTCTTTCTTTTTTTTTTAATTCCGAAAGTCTAAATCTCTAATTACCAAGGGACCGTTTAAACATGGTTTTATTTGTAATTGTCGCAAAGTTAATATCATTAAAAGGAAACTCACTAAGGACAAATTCTGTGTGATTTCACTCCTAGGAGGTCCCTAGAGTCCTCAGATTCATAGAGACAAAAAGTAGAATGGGGAGTGCCAGGGACTGGGGAGGGGACGGGTTGGGGACAGAGTTTCAGTTTGGGAAGATGAGAAAGTTCCAGAGATGATGGTGGTGATGATTGCACAACACTGTGAATGCGCTTGATACCACAGAACTGTGCACTTAAAATGGTTGAGATTTACCGGGCACAGTGGCTCATGCCTGTAATCCCAGCACATTGGGAGGCCGAAGTGGGTGGATCACTTTGAGGCCAGGAGTTCGAGACCAGCCTGGGCAACATGGTGAAATCCCGTCTCTACTAAAAATACAGAAATTAGCGGCCGGGCGCAGTGGCTCACGCCTGTAATCCCAGCACTTTGGGAGGCCGAGGCGGGTGGATCACGAGGTCAGGAGATCGAGACCATCCTGGTTAACATGGCGAAACCCCGTCTAGCGGCCGGGCGCAGTGGCTCACGCCTGTAATCCCAGCACTTTGGGAGGCCGAGGCGGGTGGATCACGAGGTCAGGAGATCGAGACCATCCTGGCTAACACGGTGAAACCCCGTCTCTACTAAAAATACAAAAAATTAGCCGGGCGTGGTGGCGGGCACCTGTAGTCCCAGCTACTCGGGAGGCTGAGGCGGGAGAATGGGGTGAACCCGGGAGGCGGAACTTGCAGTGAGGTGAGATCACGCCATTGCACTCCAGCCTGGCAACAGAATGAGACTCCATCTTAAAAAAAAAAAAAAAAGATTGAGATGATAAATTGGTAAATTTTATGTGACGTTTATTTTTCCACAATTTAATACACACACACACACAAATAAATAAGCTTACAAACCCTTCCTGTTAATATCACTAGTGTATGTGCTGTTATTGTAAAATAGACATCACATACAATTTTTTATTGTAACTGTGTTTAAGAGCAGTTTCGCTGCATCAAGTGCGTTGCTGTGGTTGTGCGACCATCACCACCATCATCTCCAGAACTTTCTCAACTTCTTAAACTGAAAACTGTCCCATGAAACACTCACTCCCCTTCTCCTCCCCCCAGCCCCAGCACCTACATCTCCTTTCTGTTCTTTTGTGAATCTGATGACGCTAGAGACTTCATATGCTTAATTTTCTTCTTTCTTTTTTTTTTTTTTTTTTTTGAGAGGGTCTCGCTCTGTCCCCAGGCTGGAGTGCAGTGGCCAATAATCTTTGGCCCACTGCCGCTCTGCCCTGCCTGGGTTTCACGGCATTCTCCCACCTCAAGCCCTCCACCTCCGAGTAGCTGCGCCCTACATGCGCCGCCTGCCACCACTCCTGCCTAATTTTTTGTATTTTTTGGGTAGAAACCGGGTTTCCACCGTGTTAGCCAGGATCCGCGCTCCTCATCTGCCTGGAAACCTCGGTGATCGGGCCGTTCGGCCTCCCAAAGCTGCTGGGATTACAGGCGTAAGCCACCGCGCCCGCCCATTGCCCTGCTTCATTTTTTCTTAATCTCAGAAAAATCACAGTGTTACCAGGCTTTCTTGCAGTGGTATTCTAGAAAGGTGACACAGGTATCAGGAATGATACCTCATGCCTGAACAATATCTTCGTTTCCTCTCCCAATTTATTATGGTATTATTATTATAATTAATTCAGGAGCTTCCTTATTACAGGCAAGTTTGCACTTTTTATTTTTTTCCATCTGTATTGCTGTAACTAGCTCCCATCAGAGTTAACCCAGGCAGGTTATTCTATGTCTATTTATAAACATAAGAACTATTTTCCAGTCTCTCATAGGCTTTTAAAGCTGTATAAATACTTGGGTTTCCGAGTCGATACTCACCATTCACAGGAAGGTACTTGATACACGATTTAGAGCTTACTGTCTATCCTGGAGGCATTAAGGGGAGGACAGAACAATGGAATTTCCTTTGCTCAGCAGTCACCAGGCACCAAGCAAGGTGGCAGCAGGAGAGGTGACTCTCCAGGGACTGTTGCAGATTGTGCTTGTAAAGAGCTGTGTCCGTCCATATTAGTGGCTGTACCAGAGGCATAATTGTGCTTGCACCATGGGTCACAAGAACCCTGGAATTTGACTTCAAGGGTTAAGACATGACCAGTTGTGGTACTTAAGTATTGTAGGCTGGGTGCGGTGGCTCATGCCTCTAATCTCAGCACTTTGGGAGGCCGAGGCGGGCAGATTGTTTGAGCTCAGGAGTTTGAGATCAGCCTGGCAAACATGACAAAACTCCGTCTCTACCAGATAAAAAAATAAATAAATAAATAAAAATAAAATAAAATAAAAAAATATTGGCCAGGCATAGTGGTTCATGCCTGTAATCCCAGCACTTTGGGAGGCCAAGGCAAGTGGATCACCTGCGGTCAGGAGTTCGAGACCAGCCTGGCCAACATGGCGAAACCCCATCTCTAATAAAAATACAAAAAAAAAATAGCCAGGCGTGGTGGTGCATGCCTGTAATCCCAGTTACCCGGGAGAGCTGAGACAGGAGAATCGCGTGAACCCGGGAGGCAGAGGTTGCAGTGAGCCAAGATTGTGCCACCGCACTACAGCCTGGGCGACAGAGCAAGACCCCATCTCAAAAAAAAGAAGAAGAAAAAAGAGAGAAATAGTATTGTATTTTTAGGACTGTTACCTTTATAAGCTACTGGTGTTCTTCATTTATTAATTTTTAAATTCCCTTTTCTGTACGTATTTGAAAAATTCCTTCCTCTGTCTCCTCTCATGCCTTTACGTCAGGGTTTCTCTACCTTGTGTTTTTGATATCTGGTGTTGGATCATTCTCTGGGGTGGGGCTGTCCTGGGCATTTCAGGGTACTGAGCAGCATCCCTGGTCTCCACCCCATTCCACGCTCCAGGAGGATGCTGCAGCCAGGTCCTGACACCTAAAAATATCTCCAGATGTTGCCCAATGTCCCTAGCGGGACACCCACCGCCACGTCCAGCTAACTTTTGTATTTTGAGTAGAGACGGGGTTTCGCCATGTTGGCTAGGATAGACCTCCTGACCTCAAGTGATCCGCCCGCCTCAGCCTCCCAAAGTGCTGAGATTACAGGAGTAAGCCACCGTGCCTGTCAGTTTCTATTAGGTTGGTGCAAAAGTAATTGTGGTTTTTTGCTATTACCTTTAATGGCAAAAGCTGCAATTACTTATGCATTAACATAATAAAACATGTTGACATGCCCTTCTCAGATGACACTCTAGACACAGATATTTTATGTATTTATTTTTTTGAGATGGAGTCTGGCTCTGTCACCCAGGCTGGAGTGCAGTGGTGCCATCTCGGCTCACTGCAACCTCCACCTCCCAGGTTCAAGCGATTCTCCTGCCTTGGCCTCCTGAGTAGCTGGGATTACAGTCATGCACCACTACACCTGGCTAATTTTTGTATTTTTAGTAGAGACGGGGTTTTACCACATTGACCAGGCTGGTCTCGAACTCCTGACGTCAGGTGGTCTGCCTACCTCGGCCTCCTAAAGTGCTGGGAGTACAGGTGTGATCTGCCCGGCCTGTTTTTATTGGTTATTTTACTTTATTTTTAGTAGAGATAGGGTTTCACCACATTGCCCAGGCTGGTCTTGAACTCCTGGGCTCAAGTGATCCTCACACCTCGGCTTCCAAAAGTGCCAGGATTACAGGTGTGAGCCACTGTGTTCGGCTATATTTTTAATCTTTGAGACAGGGTTCTATACTCTGTCACCCAGGCTGAAGTGTAGGGGCGCAATCGCGGCTCACTCCAGCCTCGGCCTCCTGGGCTCAAGCGATCCTCTCACGTCAGCCGTCCAAGTAGCTGGGACCACAGGCGTGAACCATAGTGTCTGGCTTTTTTCCAAAGCGGAACTTGAATCTAGGCTGTGTCTCAGCTCAGCTTCTCTGAGAAGGTGATCCCTCTTCACTGTATGTGTGTGTGTGTGTGGGGGGTGTGTTTGTGGTGTGTGGCCTGGGTGTTTGTCGTGTGTGTGTGATTTGTGTGGTGTGTGTGTGTGGGGGTGTGGTGTGTTTGTGGTGTGTGGCCTGGGTGTTTGTCGTGTGTGTGTGATTTGTGTGGTGTGTGTGTGGTGTGTGGCCTGGGTGTTTGTCGTGTGTGTGTGATTTGTGTGGTGTGTGTGTGATTTGTGTGGTGTGTGTGATGTGTGGCATGGGTGTGTGGTGTGTGTGTGATTTGTGTGGTGTGTGTGGTGTGTGTGTGATTTGCGTGATGTGTGTGGTGTGTGTGATTTGTGTGGTGTGTGTGGTGTGTGTGATTTGTGTGGTGTGTGGCATGGGTGTGTCGCGTGTGTGGTGTGTGGTGTGGATGTGTGTCGTGTGTGGTGTGTGTGTGATTTGTGTGGTGTGTGTGAGTGGTGGTGTGTGTGGTGGGTGTGTGGGGGGTGTGTGGTGTGTGTGGTGTGTGGGGGGTGTGTGGTGTGTGTGTGGCTTGTGCTTGTGGTGTGTGTGGTGTGTGTGATGCATGTGTGGTGTGTGTGTGTAGTGTGTGTGGTGTGTGGTATATGTGTGGTGTGTGTGGTGTGTGTGGTGTATGTGTGGTGTGTGGTGTGTGTAGTGTGTGGTATGTGTGTAGTGTGCGTGGTGTGTGGTGTATGTGTGGTGTGTGTGGTGTGTGGTATGTGTGTAGTGTGCATGGTATGTGGTGTATGTGTGGTGTGTGTGGTGTGTGGTATGTGTGTAGTGTGCATGGTATGTGGTGTGTGTGTGGTGTGTGTGGGGGGGTGTGGTGTGTGGTGGTGTGTGGTGTGGTGAGGTGGTCACGCGGTGTGTGTGGGTGTGGTGGTGGTGTGTGTGTGTATGTGTGTGGTGTATGGTGTGTGTGGATATGTGTGGTGGATGTGTGTGGTGGGTGTATGTGTGGTGTGGTGGGTGTGTGTGGTGGCGGGGGTGTGTGTGTGGTGTGTGGTGGTGTGTGTGTGGTGGTGTGGTGGTGGGTGTGTGTGTGTGGTGGGTGTGGGGTGTGTGTGTGTGGTGTGGTGTGGTGTGTGTCTGTGTTGTGGTGGTGTAATGTGTGGTGTGTGTGGATGTGTGTGGTGGGGTGTGTGTGGTGGTGTATGTGTGTGTGGTGGGTGTTGATGTGTGTGTGTATGTGTGGTGGTGTATGTGTGTGTGGTGTGGATGTGTGGTGGTGGATGGTGTGGTGGTGTATGGTTTTGTGTGGTGGGTGTGTGTGTGGCGGGTGTGTGTGGTTGGTGTGTGGTGGTGTGCGTGTGTGTGGTGTGTGGTGGGCTGGTGTGTGTGTGGTGGGTGTCGGGGTGTGTGGTGTGTGGTGTTGGGGTGTGTGTCTGTGGTGTGGTGTCATGTGTGGTGGTGTGTGGATGTGTGTGGTGGGTGTGTCGGTGGTTGGGCTGTATGTTGTGGTGTGGTGGGTGTGTGTGTGGCGGGGTGTGGTGTGTGGTGTGGTGGTGTGTGGTCGTGCTGGTGGGGTGTGGGGTGTGTGTGTGGTGTGTGGTGGTGTGTTGTGTGTGGTGTGTGGTGGGTGGTGTGTGTGGTGTGTGGGTGGTGTGCTGTCTGGTGGTGTGGTGTATGTGTGGTGTGTGGTGGATGTGTGTGGTGGGTGGTGTGTGTGGTGGTGGGTGTGGTGGTGTGTGTGTGGGGTGTGTGTGGTGTGGTGCCGGTGTGTGGATGTGTGTGCACGGTGTGTGTGGGTGTTCAGCTGCAGAGACGTGAAGCCCCGCTTTTCTGTTTCTTTCTCCAGGGCTGAAGCTGCCCTCGAGGACCTGGTCTCCACCATTCGAGTCTGAGGATTCTCAGAAGCACAACCAGAGTGAATATGAGGATTCAGCCGGTGAATGTTGCTCCTGTCCAAAGACAGACTCTCAGATCCTGAAGGAGCTGGAGGAGTCCTCGTTTAGGAAGACGTTTGAGGATTACCTGCACAACGTGGTTTTCGTTCCCAGGTCAGGACTTGGCGCTCGGCTCTCTTAGTGGGTGCCAGTTGGCTTGGTGCTGGTCATTGCTTAGGGACCCAGAGGTAGTGGGACCCAGAGACGGCAGAAGGGTGGGTGGAGTCTGAATGCAGCCCTTTCCTGGGTGGAGGAAGAGATCTTGGAATTTCGAAATTTCGAGCAGAATTTTATCAGGAAGAGCAAATCATCACACAAAAGGGGAAAAATGGACAAAACTCAGCCTTTGCCTTTCTTACCTCTCCCGAGCTGGTCTCCATCTGGGTTCCAAAACAAACACCATTAGATGATTAAGGCTTTTTTCTCTCTCTCTCTTTTATTTTTATTTTTTTATTTTTTGTAACAGAGTCTCCCTCTGTCGGTCGTCCAGGCTGGAGTGCAGTGGTGCAATTTTGGCTCACCACAACCTCCCCTCCCCGGGTTCAAGTAATTCTCGTGCCTCAGCCTCCCAAGTAGCTGGGACTATAGGCACGCACCACCACGCCCAGCTAATTTTTACATTTTTAGTAGAGACGGGTTCACCATGTTGGTCAGGCTGGTCTCGAACTCCTGACCTCAGGTAATCTGCCTGCCTCGGCCTCCCAAAGTGCTGGGATTATAGGTGTGAGCCACCGCGCCTGGCCATGATGATTGAGGCTTTAGCTGGATGCAGTGGTGTAAGCCTGTGGTCCCACCTACTTGGGAAGCCAAGGTGGTAGGGTTGCTTGAAGCCAGCCTGGGCAACATAATGAGACCCCATCTCTACAAAAAGACAATTTAAAAATGAGCCAGGCATGGTAATGCATGCCTGAACTCCTAGCCCGTGGGGAGGCTGAGGAAGAAGGATCACAAGAGCCCAGGAGATCGAGGCTGCAACGAGCAATGATGGCGCCACTGCACTCCAGCCTGGGAGACAGAGCGAGACCCTGTCTCTTAAAAAAAAAATTAAAAGTATCTGTTCAGATGTTTACCAATGTTATTCACCCGAGCAGACTTTTCTCCCAGAACCATCAATGTGTAAGAATTATTTTTTTTTTTTCTTCTTTTTTTCTTGCATGTTCCCCTATGACCCCGAGTCCAAAAGAATGTTCAGTGGGACAGCCCAGGCATTGAAGTGGTTACCGTTTCACCTGTTAAAAATGAAATGTTGGCTGGGCGCAGTGGCTCCCTCCTGTAATCCCAGCACTTTGGGAGGCCAAAGTGGGAGAATCAGTTGAGGCCAGAAGTGGAGACCAGCCTGAGCAACAGAGTGAGACCCTATCTCTACTGAAAAAGGAAACAAAAATAGCCAGACATGGTGGTGCATGTCTTGTAGTCCCAGCTACTCTGGAGGCTGAGGCGGGAGCATTGCTTGAGCACAGGAGTTGGAGGCTGCTGTGAGCTATGATGGCACCATTGCACTCCAGCCTGGGCAACAGAGCAAGACCCTGTCTCAAAAAGGAAAGAAAGAAAGAAAGAGAGAAAGAGAGAGAGAAGAAAAAAAAGAAAGAGAGAGAGGAAGGGAGGGAGGGAGGGAGGAAGGAAGGAAGGAGAAAAAGAAAGAGAGAGAAGGAGAAAATGAAAAAGGAAGAAAGAGAAAAAAGAGAAAGGAAAGAAAGAAGAGAAAGAAAGAGGAAGGAAAAGAAAAGAAGGAAGGAAGGGGAGAGAGGGAGAGAGAACAAAAGAGGAAAGGAGAAAGAAAGAGGAAAGAAAGCAGAAAGAGAGAGAGAAAGAAGAAAGAAGGAAAAGAAAAAAATGCTGCCAGACTTGGAGAAGTGACTGAGTCAGTTGTGTCCACATGTAGTCACATTTGACATCCCAGGGCCACCTCCGCAGGCCGTCTCTGGGGGAGAATTTTCTCTGATTTCTTCCCCGTCCCTTGCCGGGCCCCTGCATCTGCTGGCGAAGATGTAGCTCCCTCCCTCCAGCAAGTGATGGATGGGAGCAAGTGATCCAGGTTCAAGGCCAGGGTGCCCTTACTCAAACACAATGTGGCCTCCAAGTGTCAGAGCCCAGTGGTCTGTCAAATGAAGTTCCCTTTGTCCTCAAAGCAGTTGGTTTTATTTCCACAGAAAAACCTCTTCAGGCACTGGTGCCGAGGACCCTAGGTATGACTCACCTGTGCGACCCCTGGTGCCTGCTCCGTGCAGGGCCGGCGGTGTGCCAGGCAGACGCCTCGGAGAACGCAGGGGTTTCTGTGGCTTTTTGCATGCGGTGGGCTGCTGTGCTGGAGATGAGATGCTTCACAAATTCGGAAATCCAATGCCTTCACTCTGAAATGAAATCTGGGCATGAATGGTGGGGGGAAATCTTCACTAACACACTCTTGCTACCACATAGAAGCACGTGAGTGCTTCCTGGGTACCTCCTCCCTGCCTTCTGTTTGCAGCCACTGTTGGCTCACTAAACATCTCTTTGCACCTCCCGCGTGCATTTGCAGAAGTGGGTGGGGGTCCCCGGAGTCTGAGCTCCCCGCGGCTGGGTGCCCCGACCCAGCAACTCCTATACCATGAAGGGAGGGTGGTCTGGAAACAGAATATTTTCATGAAACGGTGACAGGATATGAACAAAAGAACACCGTGTCGCTCACTGAATTCTACAGAGGAGAGTCAGGGACCGACCTTCCTTCCTTCCTTCCTTCCCTTCCTTCCTTCCTTCCTTCCTTCCTTCCTTCCTTCCTTCCTTCCTTCCTTCCTCTCTCTCTCTTCCTTCCTTCCTTCCTTTCTTCATTTCTTTCTTTCTTCCTTTCTTCCTTCCTTCCTTTTTCCTTCTTTCTTTCCTTCCTTCTTTCTTTCTTTCTTTCTCTTTCTTTCTTTCTTTCTTTCTTTCTTTCTTTCTTTCTTTCTTTCTTTCTTTCTTTCTTTTCTTTTCTTTTCTTTTCTTTCTTTCTTTTCTTTCTTTCTTTGTCTTTTTTTGTTTGTTTGTTTGAGATGGAGTTTCACTCTTGTTGCCCAGTCTGGAGTACAGTGGTGCAATCTCGGCTCACCTCAGCCTCCACCTCCTGGATTCAAGCAATTCTCCTGCCTCAGCCTCCCGAGTAGCTGGGATTATAGGCATGCGCCACCACGCCCGGCTAATTTTTGTATTTTTAGTAGAGACGGGGTTTCTCCTTGTTGGTCAGGCTGGTCTCGAACTCTTGCCCACCTTGGCCTCCCAAAGTGCTGGGATTACAGGCGTGAGCCACCATGCCGGGCCAGGGACATTTCTTTTCAACTCGTGTCTTAGGAGAATGAAGCAGTAGGGTCCTAGGAGAGAGGAAAACCTTGGAGAACTTGGGAGAAAGGCAAGGAGATGTTACCCGTCGTGGGCTTTTGGGAGGAACAGGAGGTGAGACTAGAGAGGCAAGTTGGGACCACTTGGAGGGATTTTCTTCCTTTAGCGGAGTGTTTATTTTTTTCCAGGCACCTGTGTGGCCTGATATGACCTCTAGTGGCCATTTGCAATACTATCTGTGGCCAAGAAGGATCTAAAAATGTGTGGGCTTGGTCCAAAGTGGATCTCAATCTCAGTCCTGCTATTAATAATATTTGGGGGCCACAGCGGGACGTGGTAGCTCACGCCTGTAATCCCAACACTTTGGGAGGCCCAGGCGGGGCAATCACTTGAGGCCAGGAGTTCGAGACCAGCCTGACCAAGATGGTGAAACTCCGTCACTCCAAGAAATATAAAAATTAGCTGGAGGTGGTGACACACGCCTGTAATCCCAGCTACTTGGGAGGCCGAGGCAGGAGAATCGCTTGAACCCTGGAGGCGGAGGTGGCAGTGAGCTGAGATCTCGCCACTGCACTCCAGCCTGGGTGACAGAGCAAGACTCTGTCTCAAAAATAATAATAATAATAATAATAAATGCATAATAGTAATTAATAATAATAAATCATATTTGTGGTCAGACTATTCTAGGGCATGGAAACTGTCCTGGGCAGTGTCCAGCAACACTAAGCAGCATCACTGGCTTCCACTCATCTGATGCCAGTAGCATGTCTTCCCCCCAAAGTAGTAATAACCAAAAATATCTTCAGACGTTGCTAAATATCCCCCTGGGGGATGGGGGCAGAAGGACTCTTGGTTGAGACCACAAGTTTAGTGTGGGATTGTTGGATAATGAAATGCTGCCTAGGGTGGGCACGGTGGCTCATGTCTGTAATCCCAGCACTTTGGGAGGCCCAGGCAGGCGGATCACCTGAGGTCAGGAGTTCGAAACCAGCCTGGCCAACATGGCGAAACCCCGTCTCTACTAAAAATACAAAACTTAGCAGGGCCATGGTGATACACGCCTGTAATCCCAGCTACTTGGGAGGCTGAGGCAGGAGAATCGCTTGAACCCAGAAATTGGAAGTTGCAGTGAGCCGAGATCACCCCCACTGCACTCCAGCCTGGGC